TACTTAGAGGTAGTTTAGTAATTATATCTATAGAAATATCTTACTATAGTTTATTAGAGATAGATAGAGGTTAAAGTAAACTATATTAGGTATATCTAGAAGTTTTAGCTCTTTAGTAAGTCTAATAGGTACTTATATAGTTCTTAATATATTTTTAGACCTTTAGCTACTAGAATTTACGTTAGATAAGGTTAAGAGTTCTACTAAACCTAAAATAGCCTACTAATAGGTTATTATAGTAAGCTTCTAGTATCTAAAGCCTAGCTCTCTTAGAGACATAAAGTCTATTCTTAAATAGTAATAACTTCTCTTATACTTTTATCTAGCGTAGTACCTAGAGTACCTTTTATTAGGTAAGTCTTAACTACTCTAATTTAACTCTCTTAGCCTACGCGTTATCTACTATCCTCTTAGTAATTAACTTTACTAAGAGGTTTATTAGATTTCTAGTACTTTCTATAGGTTCTATAGTTATAGCTCTTTCTAGAGTCTAACTCTATAGAGTAACTACTACTTAATAATAGTCTAGGCTATTCTAGAGTAGACTAAGCCTAGTATTCTCTATCTTTATACTCTCTTTATAGAGTAGGTTAAGCTTATATAGTAGCTCTCTATAGAGATAACTCTAGCTAGCTACTTAGAGTACCTTCTTCTTTAGAATCTTAGAATTTATAATCTAGCCTTCTAGAAGGTCTATCTACTAGATTTAATCTATCTAGTTAATACGTAATCTTAAAGTTAAAGGCTATAAGCTATTTAGCCTACTATATCTAGCGTCTAGATAGAGTCTTAGTAGTTATAAATTCTTATAGATTAGCGTAATTAGTAAGAAGCTATACTTTATAGAGTATCTCTTCTAGATAATACCTCTAATACTTAAAGGTCTCTATAATTATAAGTAGTTTACTATTATAGGTATTATAATTCTACTTAGTAAAGGTTATCTTTCTAGAAAAGAACGCGACTAGGTACTACTATTTCTTTCTCTAGAGGTTAATTCTAGTCTAGCTTAGAATATCTAAGATTACGTATCTAGAGACATTAGTCTCTACTTAGATAGGCTAGTCTAGGCTAAAGTATACTAGAAGAGAGCTCTTTATAAACTTTTCTTTTAGTTTCTTAAATATAGCCTTAGTCTTTTAGCTTAGCTTAATATTCTATAATTTCTCTTTTCTTTATTAATACCTCTCTTTAGCTAGATCTAAGCCTTAGGTAACTAGATTAAAAGAAGCGGTAATTTAAGAGAACTCTTTAATAAACTACTAGTAGTAATTTATAAAGCTAATAAAGATTTAGACTTTATAAACTAATTTTAGTATTAGCTAGCCTTAAATAGTCTAAACCTAGTTCTTCTCTATATATATACTTTTAGAGAATATAATAAATTCTAGATAAGATATATATTAGGTATAGAATTTATATTTAGATAGTTTTATATAGAGCTAGTACTATTAGAGTTATTCTAGTACTAGTTTAATATATTTAATATACTTCTTCTCTATCTAAAAGTAAATAAAAATATTATCTAAATAGATAATATAATAAATATTAAGTAAGTTAGATAAGGCTAAATTAATATAGCTTTAAAAGACTATAGAGGTATTAGTAAAGCTAAAGAGTATTACTACATATTTAAAGTATCTATAGCGTATTTAAAACGTAGTTTTCTATTTATTACTTTATTAAATCTATATATAGTAGTACGCGTTTTATAAGTCTAATTTTAAGAAGATTTTAGCTTCTCTAAGGTAGTCTAGACTTTTCTAGATTAGTAGAAGAGAGTAGTAGTTCTTTAGAGTAACTACGTTTAGACTCTAATAGTCTATATATAGCTAGAGAGTTCTATTTACTTTCTTAATAAAGAGAATAGAGGCTTTAGCTTTTAATATAGATTTCTAGATCTATTCTCTCTTAAGATTTATCTTAAGGTAATCTCTTAGAACCTTAGCCTTCTTAGCTAAAAGACTATAGAGAGATCTATAAGATAGTTATTTATCTAGTATAAGATCTATTATAAGCTTATAAAGACTATACTTAGAAAGAAGAGCTAAATTATTAGTAGAAAAGATGTCTAAATACTTAGAGAAGTACTCTAGTCTTAGTTTAGAGTTATTCTTCTTTTTCTAGTCTTATTTCTAGATAAATAGTATAAAACTATAAGAGTTAAAGTAGAGTACGCTACGCGCTACTTATTATAGAGCCTCTAGGTTAATTTAGGCATAGAGCTTTTTACGTATAAACTATAGAGTTAACCTAATAAAGTTTAAATTAGAGTTCTAAGTTCTTAGCTATAGTATACCTAGTATAAGATTAAACTTTTCTATTACGCCTACTATAAAGCTATCTTAACTCTATCTTATTTATTCTATACTATTAACTACCTAATATTAACTAGTAGTATAGCCTAGAACCTTAAGCTTCTCTCTATTTAAGTTTTAGAAGGCTAGACCTAGTTTTAGCTTAATAGATAGTCTTATCTTTTAAGTAAGAGATTATAATATAAAGTTAGCTTCTACGCTATAATCTACTAGCGCCTAGTAGAGAATAGAAGTCTTTATACCTAGAATTATATAGTCTAGTATAATTAAGGTACTTTTAAGTCTATTAAGAGTATAAGTACCTCTTTATAGCATAGCTATAATAATTTAGTCTCTAGTATATAAGATATTACCTAGTAGATAAAAGACCTTCTACCTTAGAGCTTAGCTTTTCTCTTCTTAGCTAGCCTTACCTTAAAGATAGGGTAATTCTACTTTATATAGCTCTTCTAGTAGTATTTAAAATAAAGGCCTTCTACTTTAGTCTTATTATTCTTAGCTATCTTAAAGTTATTCTTACTAAGCTAGCTAGGCTTAGAGGTAGTCTATTTCTTCTTATTATTCTTAGTAGAAAGAGTAGTAGAGCGCTTATAGAGACGTAGATTATTTTCTAGCACGTTCTCTATTTAAAAGCGTTTTCTAATAGTTTTTACCTAGCTCTATTTCTTAATTATCTACTAGTAATAGTATACGTTAGCCTTAAGCTTAATAAGGCTTATCTAGGTCTTTAGAACTAAGTCTAGCCTAAATTAAACTTAAAAGTCTAGAGTATTAAAGAATATCTAGATATACTCTAGATTACTTTTATTAAAGGCTATAAGAGAGTTAATCTTCTTCTATTAGGTAGTTAGGTAGTAGAGAAGCTCTAATAGGCTTCTTTTATCTTATTTAGCTCTTATAATTCTACTATAAGCGTTCTACTTTCTTTTCTAGTTAGTTTCTAATATTTCTAGTATCTTTTATTTTATAAAGGTCTAGGTAACGTTAGTTTAAAGATAGGCTTACTAGACCTACTTCTAATACGTAAGAGAGGTATAATCTAGATATTACGTAGTCTATTAAACTTAATCTTAGACTATTAGAAATAGATTAGAATTAAGAATAAATTTCTTATATTCTCTTTACTAATTATTATAATTCTCTCTTATTTTTCTTTTATATTTAGGTAAGAGCTCTAACTTTAGAAGTTACTATAATAGTAGAGAGTAGATAAGATACGTTAGAGGTAGCGCTAGCGCTACTATAGAGGCTCTAGCTTATTTCTTATTTTAAGAGTATAAGGTAACTAATTAGAGTAAAGAGAAGTATAAGTTATATTATTTAATCTAGGTTTTAAGCTACTAGATCTAATTTTAGAGAGTCTAGTAGCGTACTTAGTAGGTAAGCTTTACCTCTAGCTCTCTAATCTAGTTCTAGAGAGCCTTCTCTAAGAGCTTATTACTCTAGAGAGTTATAGCTAGATATAACTATACTTTATATTTAATTTTCTATATTAGGTTTTAACCTAGAGTATATAAGTCTAAGAACTTACCTAGACTCTCTAGATTTTGTAACGCTAATACTCTTATATTTACTATCTCTATCTAGGCTTTAGAGAGTAGAGAATTATATTATAAAAGAAGAATCTACGTATAATTCTTTAGACTAAGCTAGTAGTAATAAGGTAATAGTAGAATATATAGGTAAAAAGTAGTTAATTCTAGAGTATTCTATAATATAATTCTCTACTCTTCTTTCTAGGCGGGGAATCGCGACTATATCTAAGAAGGGCGGGCAGGGTAAGCTAACATCGCGCTAAGCTAATCTGGCCCCGTCCAGGCTAAGCTAACACGGCGCTAGGCCAATCCAGCCTAGTCTAGGCCTGTCGAAGCAGCCCGGGTGCTGCTCGTGACATTTACTTAGATAGAAAGTAAGAAGTTACGAGAACAGAAGGCTGCTAGCCACGTGGTGCAGATAATGCCAAGGAATTTCTGTAGAGCTAACGGCTGTCTTCTACCTACTATCTAGCTAGCGCGTCGCTAAACCGCATTATGAATCTCGAGACAGCGGACCTTTTATAGATGTGTCTCTGAGCAGGTTAAGATAGCTTACCAAGGACTAGTCTCGCAACGAACACAGATTTCAACGTGCTTCTTGGCCTTTCCAATTGCTCCTTAACGGCTTGCAAGAACACTTCGTCGTCCATGAAGGACGAGCCGTTGGAGCTCCCGGCAATTTTTGGACAACCTTGTTCGTCAGGTCCATGCTTTCCGTCATTCATCCAAGCACATCCCACAAGCAGAGAACTTCATCCGTGCCGCGGCTGTTTTTTCCTTCTTTCCTTTATTTCGAGAATCTCGTATAATTGCGATTCGGACAGGTTGAAGTATTGTTTGATTTGCTCCCATCTCGTCACCGAGGGAGCGGCATCCTACATAACAGCAGGGGTTCCATCCGCGAGATTGGAACGGTTGAGGATATCATTGAATGAACAGATGTCGAAGAAAAACGCGCATGCGCAGACCGATCTGTGGGTTCGCTTGTTGTAGATGGGCGTATAGGGGGTGGATTTATCTAGCGCATAGATCAACCAAAATAAATTTCGATTTCTAACGCCAACTCCGTATTCCAAACCACCAACAGATCGGCCTCAACACCCGATAACCTGGTGCATCACTCCTTCGCCAATGTCACCAATGATGGTTACCCTTCCGCTTCGGCCCAAGTGAGAGTTCCATCGGCATTCCTATGAAAGTAACGCCCAATCGTCGAATCCCATTCCCAATGCGGCTCCTTCGCTCCGCTGCTTTGTCCCTGCGCGCTGTCGGATCTGCTTCTGTTTCCGCGCGATGAGGATTGACGCCTTTTATGGTTGTTACTAGAAGAGCCATCAGACGGTGGTGGGCGGGACTTCGAGGCCTCGGAAGCTTTCTTCCTGTTCTCCGTAAGGATTATATCCAAAGCGTCCCTAATCTGCTGTAGGCGCGCGTCCTTTCCCCAATCAAGGATGTTTCGGACCTGTTTGCGAAAGTTCCTGAAATGCTCTGGGCTCCACAGCAGAAACGCTTCAGCCTGCTGGAGGTAATAGTTCAAGTCATCTTCCCTCCACGATATATATAATTGGGCGGTATTGTTGTCCACAGCAATGCAGCAGCACAAGTTGTCGACACGTTGCGTTCCTTGGTACTCTCGAAGCGACACGTTCAGCTGGTCCATAGCGTTGAGGCACGCTGACGAAGCGCCGGCACACTGATTTGTAGCAACCCAGAGATCGCCTCGAGTGCCGCCAGCAGCTTTGAATTCTATGGCGAAGAAAGGAAACCGAAGACCCTGTGACGTTGCCGCCGGGTAGAGTGGGATCTGTGGATGAAGTGTCGTTTGAGCTAGGAGTTGCGGCTGCGTAAACGCTCTGTCTGTGTTCCCCGAGTATCCATATAGCTTGTCTGGTTTGGGCTGAGTGACCTTGTATGGACTTGCGGGATTGACGGGAATGAGGTGCTGCGACATAAGAGCGCTAGAGCTGCTCATTAAACCCACAGCAGGCCCATAAACTGGGTCGGTTTTGGAGTCGGGAAATATTGTACCGTTGAGGAAAGCCGCCACGTCGTCCTCATCGCATCCCTCTGCGAGAGTACTCAGCCGGGACATGGCCCCCTTCATCTCTTCGGCAGAGAGTTCGGGAGAGTCCCGCTCGGCGCGTAACGTGTCGTTGATATAACCAGAGATAGCAGTAGGCAGCGGGGCATCAGGACGCCGGATAAAAATGTGATTAAATTCCAAGTTGTTCTGGCGGTACATTCGATGTCGAACGCCAGAAGGACTAGGAGTATCAGATACGCCGGCAACAGAGGACCGACTGTCTGCCTTGGGTTGACGGGGCCGCGACCCGGTAGATAACGGCGTGGGCGGCACCGCAAACCCGTCGATATCCCGTGTAGAGCTCATATCCGGCGCTGATCTCGTGAGGTTCCTCGAAATAGGGTTGTCTGAACGGTGGAGATAGGTATCCGACCGGCAACGTTTCTCTCGATCCGATCCGACCGACTCGAGCCACTCAGAAACGAAGGCGTGGACAGATGTAGGACGGGTATTTACATGAACGGGGTCGACAAAGTCTTCGAGGAAGGAGGCGTATGAATGCTTGGGAGGATTTGGCTTTGGTTGCTGAAGAGTCCTCTGCACATCACGCATTAGTCCTGGACTTCACAATTGGCGTAGGTGGTCATACCTTGTCCGCCTGCTCTGCTTTCCCCTCCTTAACACTGGGTTGTCGATTGCCCGTCCGTGTCAATCGGGCTCTCTTCGCGGGCAACGGATCGCTCTCAGTTGTCGTGTCCAGTTGCCTCTTCATGGACTGCACACCGGTAGGCAGCGCGTCTCGGTCGAGATATCCAGGAGGGCTCTCTGGAAGTCCTGGATCTGATGAATTAGCATAGCTTCCTACTCTTCTGGAAATCTGCATGCATACCTGCGCCGGGGCTTGCGGCGGCCTCTAGCAGCTGTTCTTTGAATGCCTTGGAGGCTCCGCTGTTCATGGTGTAGAAGGAAAGGAGGGATTCTATACCAGTGCTCGCTGGCCGAGAGAAAGGTCGGCTGGGGGCGAAGTCGGGTTCGGCGCTACGAACATTCGCTATTTTAGGCGACGATTGTGGAGACGGGTCAAGATGATTAGTCATAGGCTGCTCCGTCTTCCGTCTTGTGACTCACCCAACCCAAATTGCGGGCGACTTGGCCCAATGGCTTGACCGCCGAAAGGCAAGAATGATAGGCTGATTAGCCGCCAGAGAACGATTCGTCACGAGCAGATTACTCCGGAGTAGTCTAGGCAACCCCAAAGGCGCTCGTGATTTCCCTGCAGCCGCCGTCTGCCTGGCGCTCTGGGCACCAGAGGGTCACCGAAGCGCAATTTTAGGAAGCGCGGGGTTACACTTACGATAGGAAGTTTGCGACGAAAAGGTCCCACATGCCGTTGCGGTAATCCGTGCTTCCGGGTTCGGGCCTTCCACGTGATCTAATTACTAACGTAGCGATGAGTCAACACAGCGGCGCTGTGTTCCAACCGCCCTCATCGACGTTAATCCCTTCTACGCTTCGCTTCTATTCTTCTAGTATTAGATTGAGATCTACGTTATCTAGGAGAAGCGATCACTTATCGAGAAACTGCTGCATAAGCGACACTACGCACTCGGGCCTACGTTTTATTCTTACTAATTACAACTACCTAACTATCACCGCGAATCTAGCTTATACTCTCTTTAGCGATATAACAGGCAGTCGCGGCCCAGGTGGTCTCTACTCGGGTTAGGAGAAAGGATAAGGTTAGGGCCTAACTGTCGTTGAGGAAGATGCAGAAGACGTTGTAACATTAGTCACGTGAATAGAATGGTAATAGCTAAGAGAACACACGAGGCAGAGTGTTGCCGTAGATTAGGTATTAAAGTGCACAAGTATATATTTAAGAAGAAGAGAAGACTTAACTATAAAGAATTATCTAGAGATTTATAGATAATTATATATTAATCTAGTTTAGTTAGATTTATAATACTTAGTATTTCTTAGTATATAGATCTATTAACGTACTTTATTATCGAAAGCCTTATATTATCGAAAGCTCTACGATTTCTTAGCAAGAAAAATTAACGAAAATTAATAAATTTTTCTTAAATAACTAAGCGAAACCTTAATATTTTTCTATAAAATTTTATATATATATTCTCTATAGTATATTACATCTTATAGTAAAGTTATACTAAGATATATTACGTAATTAAAAAGCTATACGTATTTAGCTAACTTTTAAAAAAAATCTAGTTTACTTCTATTTAGTACTATTATATCTCTATAATAATATATAAAACTTAAAGTATAAAGTATTTATAACTTAATAAAGAGTTCTAGAAAACTTCTATAGCGCTAGCTCTTCTAGGTATAGCATAATAAGAAATAGAAGTATATAAAAAGTCTTTCTAGAGTTTTCTTCTCTAATTATATATATATATTAATAATCTAGCTATATAAAGTTATATATTATAAGATTATATATACTATAAGCTAGCTATATATTTAGAAGTAATAATTTTAAGATAGTTTTAGTATCTTTCTATCTTTCTATACTATACTACTAAAAAGACTTTACTTTTAAATAACTACTTAAAGCTACTATATTATTAATTAATAAGCTCTATATAGTTAAAACTAACTATAATATATAAAATAATAAGTTTATATAGCTAGATTAATTATATATATATATATATAGTTAGAAGTAAAAACTCTAAAAAAGATTATTTTCTAACTTCTATCTCTTATTATACTATACCTAGAAGAGCTAGCTTTATAAAAGTTTTCTAGAAACCTTTACTACGTTATAGATACTATATACTATAAGTTTTATAGATTATTATAGAGATATAATAGTACTAACTAGAAGTAAACTAGATTTTTTCTTAAAAGTTAGTTAAATACGTATAGCTTTTTAATTACATAATATATCTTAGTGTAACTTTACTATAAGGTGTAATATACTATAGAGAATATATATATAAATTTTTATAGAAAAATATTAAGGTTTCGTATAGTTATTTAAGAAAAACCTGTTAATTTTCGTTGATTTTTCTTGCCAAGAAATCGTGGGGCGTTCGGTGGTGAAGTACGTTATGTGGAAAGCCAAGAGCGCACGCGGGCGCGAGGTCAGGTGATCAGGCGCCGCCCGCGACCGCCACTAACGGCGACCTCTGATAACAGAATGCATCCTGCGACGGATATGAACATCACGTGGATTAATAAGCTCCGATTTTTGTGTCATGGGCCGACCTTACGCGCAGGTGCCCAAACGCCGGGGCGCTGCCCAAACATCGCCGGTGCCCCACCATCCGACAACCCTCCATATTATCTTGACACTGGCAACAACAAACAACGCCTCGCCATGTCGTCTTCATAACCAAACCTCCTCGAAACCCATACCGAGTTGCGAGCATCGCATACCGGCTGACTTTGGTTGAGTCTTTCGCGAAACCACAAGCCACCGCTGAGCTGCTTTTAACGACCGCGAACTGCACCTTGGCCTATAATCTATCTATCCTGTTCATTGGAAGCCATGTGCGACAGATATTACCATCTTTTCTGGTGCGGGTGCAGGATTTTGCCAAGGGAATTCAATTGTGGGAAGGGCAGCAAGTGCACAGGGGTTAACAACCACGATGAATTGTTTTCATCTGGACCTTGTCCCGATTGCGCAACAAGTCATTGTGAGTTTTACCTGTTTTCGAACTGAACGAGGCTTTAAGGAACAGAAATAAGCAAAGGGAACCAGCTCTTGAAGCTACTTCGGGAGCGGGGAGAAAGCGGAGCATGGCATGGTGCTGCTAGACGCGGCCTTTGAAAAGAGCCTCCTCTATCGTAGCTCAAGGAGCGACTTCCTGTCATTTAGTCTACCTGCTTGCCGCTCATCTGTCTCTATCGATAATATATCTCCTGTTACCTCTTGCTCTCTATTCTGACGCCCTCTGTTCGGCCTCCGCTGCAACGCATACCTGCTCCGCAAGCACCTTGACAAAACATACCTCATAGGCATGAACTAGAAACGTCCGTTTCGAGAATATATGTCTGTCCGGTCAGCTAAGGGATGTGTATTCAGTGAGTCGACATACGAAGAAGTCTTTTCAAAGCATTCATATCATGCTCCACAGAGTACCAATCGCTGTTTGAATGTGGTGCTCGCTTGTCGGGAGGGATCTGGTCTCCGAGGTAGCCAGCGTGACCAAAGTCGATTAAAGTCACACGACCATCTTTGTTCTTCATGAGATTACTGGGGGAGAGGTCGTTGTGGATAACCCCATTTTGGTGTATTTGCTTTATGGAGCTGGTGATTTGTGCGGCGTAGATTTGTCCGCTGGCGACCTCAATTTCGAACAGTTCCTCCATCATGAAGCCAAAGATGCCTTCGTCATCGACAAGAGGTTCAGGGTGTACACGGACGACGGGACAGCCGTGGGATGCCAAGTAACAGAGAATGGAAAACTCATCGCGAATCAAGCGTCTTTGGCGAGCATTCATACCACATTTGAAGATAGGAAATGCACCCTCTCTGTTATTCAGTATTCTGATATGAGAGTCCGCTCCACACCTTAAGACGTAAGACTTGGTCCAAAGCTCATCAACTTCCCGGCTGTGTGGTATGGGAGTCACAGAAGCATCCACCGGGGGAAAGTAACTGAGATCCGGAGAGTCTCGCCAGTCGCCACTCCAAGAAACGCGATATTCTTGTCCCTCATGGTCGATATTCATGGCATATCTATCCTCGAATCGGTATGCGACAGATATGGGCTTAGATAGCATTTTGTAGACCGATGTAAGAGCTGGACGGGGCGATACAACTAGATCTGGCGGCGGCTGGGCTGCTGCTGTTGACCTTGCCTTGTTGCTTTGGCGTTGTCGCGTTATCTTATGAAGTATACGTTGCTTGTGTTATGGTGCTCGTAGAACTGGATTACAGCGCGTTTCGGGACGGACGAGGTGGGTGGGCGTGGCTGGCTAGTTAGCGAGCCATCTACGGATGGCGGGAAGTTGGACGTTGGGGGAAGAGTTTGCGTACACTAGAAGGTGCTGGAATTGTAGCTGGACGAAGCGCTGGGTATGTGGAGTGAGAGTAGAGGGGCCACTGTTACTGTGTTGGCGTGTAAAGACTTAGAGGGACGGAAAAGATGCTGTAGAATGAGCGACAAGGAACCATGAAACCTAATAGTCGGTAGTTCAGAAAAGATTCGAGCGTGGAGCGGGAGGCTCTGAGGACTGAAGAAATTCGGAAGAGGGCGGAGCTCATCCCAATGTCAATCTGTCGGAATAATTTACCGGTGGCCCCAGCGGGGCAAGATCTTCATCCACCCTTCACTTCGTCCTCAAAGCCTCACCCCATGCTCGAATCTTTTCTGAACTAGTTTCTATTGATCACCATGCATCATTGCTGCTTATTCTATGGCCAGATTCTTGTTGATTTTCCTTGCCAAGAAATCGTGGGGGGTTCGATGATATGGGGGGTTCGATGATAAAGTACGTTACGCTAATACTCTCTACTACTAATACTACTATCTAGAAGTATAAAATATCCTGCGACGGATATGAACATGAACCCAGACATCACACTCTGGTGGAGATACGATTGGCCAACGAGTAGATACTTATCAAATGCACCCCATCACTGAGGTTGCGTACGGGTAAACACAACGGCACCGGCATGGCAAGAAGCCTGCATTGCGATTTTATGATACATATTCTCCGCGAGCTTCTTTCTTCAGAACCCCGGGCTTGCTGAAGTCTCCACGCCGAGAGGATGACATTGGAAGACCGGAGATGGCCCCCGTAACACTGGCAAGTATTTCATCGTCGCGCCCGGCGTTCGTGGCCCATACCTTGCTGATACTGAGCTCATAAGGCCCTGGTATCCTATCGATCAGCGCCATGCCCACAGTCCGCACCTTCTGCGTCAGCATCTCCCGCTGGGGCTCCACGACCTGGCCGTGGTTCGTCCGCACGAATTCGCTCCATTTGATCAGTATTGTCTCCCACTCGCCGGGCGTCTTTGCATACAGGCGGTGCTGGTGGATGTCCGTTGGTACAATCGACTCGGTCTGCACATTGACGAAGTATTTGCGGCCGTCGGATTTGAAGTGGATGGCGAGGTAGGTGTACAGATCTACGTCCCAGAGCGACTTGCCGAATATAGTGAAGCCTCGATCGAGCGTGCGCCAGCCGGCATAGCCAGTCCGCTGTACGTGCGGCTGGTCTGGCGGTAGCTCAATGGATATGTTGCCGTGGAAGCGCGCGTGGGAGGGTGCGTCGTGCGCCGCAGGGTGGAAGTCGAGGTTGGCCGTGGAGAAGCCACCGATGTCTTTGTCGCTCATGCGCTTGCACCTGGCGATGTCATCCGGAGAGTCGAAAGGGACCAGCAGGAACGGTTTCGTAGGCGATTTGAGCCCTTCTAGCTTGAGAGCTGCAGATGTCAGTTGGAAAGCCCGAGCAGCAGCAGTCGCCGGAGCGCCTCTCACCGAAGCTGGACAGGCGCTTGAACTCGTCCAGACTGCGCTTGAAGAAGCCTGGCGCCAGACAGCGTGCAGACGGCCGCATCGTCGCGTGCTACCCGTGAATAAGGCTGGTTGAGGTGCGGGCTGCGGTCACAGTGCTGTGGATAGAGGCAGCATGGAGCACGGAGTGGATTAATCGAACTCCGATCTTCTACACTAAGCCAATTTGGGGCAGCGCCGCTCCCCGCGCAAAAGCAGTTCGCTTGGGTGAACGACGCATGATTTGGCGGCGACGGGCTGCTGCCTATTACGACACGATGCGACGAAGTTGTATGCACATCTAAATAACGAACTCATTGTATTGGGTTCATCGAAGGTAGTGGGAGAATGTCCCCAGTGTCCGCCAGAGGTATGAATAGCTTCACGAGTGTCTTTCCGTTTACTGAAAACAATAGAACCCTACCGCGTAGTATGGTCACGCACGCATTTTCGCCCAGAATGCAATAATGGCCAGCGACACGAGAGCCACGGTTATGTGAGAGATCGGAGAAGGCTGGACACGAGCAGCACACCTTGACTTGGTAGCAGCTAGAAATCGTCAGTGCTGAGCAAAGAATTAAGGAAAAGCTATACCTTCAATCTGAACGTCCTCAAGCAAATCATCAATTGTTGCATATGTCCGATCCCAGCACTTGGCTATAATCTCCCCAAACGCAGGTAGGGAAGTCAGGCTCGGAAAGTTAACTTTACTGAATCCGTCATGTACCGCTTCATCTGAGAAGCCCTCGTGCGGCTTAGACCCAGTCATGATCTCGTAGAAGGTAGAACCAAGAGCAAATACCTCGCTCTTGTGCGAAACGCCTTCGTTGTCAGGATGCTCATGACTGGTCTCATAGCATATGAGAGGGGGTTCGTTGTCGATAGAAGATCCAGCAAAGTCGCCAAGTTTCGCGTTCAGGTTTTCGTCAAGGAAAACGTTGTTACACGAGATATCTCCGTGTAGTATGTTTTCAGAATGAACAAAGGCCACTGAAGCTGTGATCTGTTCAACCTAGCGGAGTCGCAATGAAAGCGATGTGGCCTTGGTTCGTCGAAAGTGTTGTCGGATAGACCCATTACAGCAGTACTGGAGGATGAGAGCGTCCTCAAGACTGCCGTAATATCGAAGAACTCCTTCATTATGTTCCAGGCGTTCGTAGATGCGTCGCTCTCTCTCAAGGAATTCGCGCTTGGACGGCCGGACGAACTTGATGACAGCGTCAAGGCGGGCGACAATTGCTGTGATTCCTGCACCAACAATATCGCCATGGCTTAAGCCGCGAGGGTAATGAATCGTGTAATCCGATCTAGACATATGGTATCTGTATGTACCGTTAGAAAAACTCGCAAAGTGGACAGGACACGATACTTGTGAATGTGCTTCAGGGGTTCTCTGGGGACAGCAGGATTAATCTTCATCGGCAGGTCGGGCCCAAACGCCCCGGCGGGAGTCTTCGGAAGAGCGTTTTACCGAGCCGTTACGCGCCAACTTCCTCTAACCTGCAGCTCCGCTCGCCAGGTTGAATTCCTGCCACCTACGTACGCGACGCACACCGCTCTAGTGCTTCGTAACTGCAAGAGGCGCACAGTCCGCCATCTCCTGGGCGACGTCCGCAATCTCCCCGACCGCAATCGTTCACTGCCGCCTCTACCTCTAAATCACCGCTTTGCCTCGCCCAACATGAAATGGCATTCGCCGAGAGATGTATTTTTGAGAAGCGTTGCTAAAGGATAGGAGAGTTGCAAAACGCTGCATACTGGCGATGCCGCCCTCCCCGTTATATCATACAGCTATCTAGGTCGCAGAGGATCAGCAACACACCGCCCGGCCTTTGGACTACCGTTCCAACGCATAACGAAATCTCGGCCACGAAAGCGCATCGACCGTACCTACTTTCGCATGAATATCGCATCTCAAAGCGCCCGACATACCAGCAAAAGGAACGAGGTGAGGGATACAGGGGATGTAGAAGAGATATTCGCACGGGCACCGGCGGATTCACGTCAAGAGCGACAAGCGCTATAATGCTCGCACCACGCTCCGTGGGAGGCTAGCTGCAATGTAGGGGGCGCAATTCCTGATATACAAGTATCTCGGTAGAAGGCAGTTCCGGCCTCATCGACGACAGCAAAGTGACCGTAGATCCGGACTGATCGGTGATCGTGTGAGACTGAGAAGGCGAGGATTTCACGATTAATGTCGCGCTTACACCATACACCAACGGCGACCCCAACCTTCGCTCTGTGACCTGTCACTGTCCCAATGGCATCCAGAACGTTGTTCGTCTCCCGAACCAAGAGCAACGCAACCAGAAGTGACCGGGACGGCTCGACGGATTAGGGGGGAGGGGGCGAACAAAGGTCTTGCAGATGAAGGAACGGGAGGACGCGGCAAGTAGATGATGTTGCAGAATTCCTTGCATCGCAACAGACAATGGCACGGCGCAGGGTCGTAGGATAGACAGACACCTCCATTGAATGAGCCGTTACTTCACGGCTTCGACTCCCCAAAACTAGGATATGCTCCGTGCAGCAGCGCGTAGCCGACCTCTAGGTCTTCTCGCCCCCCCCCCCCCCGTGTCTTGAATCCGTCGAAACGGTCGCCACCTTCCCATTGACCCGCGGTCGCAGCGATCGCGGCCGCTCTCCACGCGCATCCGGCGGTGCTCCTGCTGCTGTTGCCGTCCCGAGAGGTGCCTTTAAGCGCTTAGACCGCCAACGACGACCAGGCGGCGGGGTTTGGGTAGTAGTAGTGCCTGCAGAGACAGCCGGCGCCCGGGGCTCCGAATCTTGCGGTTGCGGGATACTGCTTGGGCCGTCACTCGTGCCGACCACCTTCCTTCTCTTCGACTGCGGTTCCGGGACATCCTCCTCCTCCTCCTTCTCGTCGGCCTCTGTTGAGGGCTTACGTCTCTTGCTCCGTCTTGTCTGTGATAAGTTGGCGCTCTTGCCAGCCAGCATCTTCTCCGTCTCGTCCGTCTTGTCCATCTCTTCCACCTTCTTCGTCCGCCTGCGCTTCCCCAACCGCGGCTCAAAGACGTCCTCCGGTCGGTTGGCGTCGTCTGTGTACCTCCTTTTCCTGCTGCTGCCACTTGTGCTGCCATCGCTCTCGCCAGCGGCAGCCTTCTGCTCTGCCTCGATCTTCTCTATCTCAGACAGTACCCAACCAACCCTAGACTGCTGCTGCTCAGCCGCGGCTTTAGCTGCCTGGTATTTCCCCTTGTAACCGTCGTGTGTTTTCGCCCTCTTCTCCAGTCTTCGGGCAGCCTCAGCAAGCCCGTGGAGGGACTCCGCTTCGAAGGCGAGATACTCGACATACGTAGTCCACTAGTCCTGCCCCTTCGGATCCGCCAGCAGCGTGAACGGTCGCCGGAGGACGATCTCTGGCTGTACAAGCCATCTGCCCAGGCGCTCGCCATGCCTCTCGACATCCTCCTCGTCCTTGTAGTCGTACTCGCGCTCCCAGCACAGGCGCGCGGTCTGCTCGAAATCCGCCTCGGCTGCGCCCCTGGATGTCCCCCCGCTCATGAAGTAGTCGCGCCGGTGTGCGTTAAGATACTCGTCAAACCCAGGCCTCCTGCGCCTTCCGCGCAGCTGCCAGGCGCGGAACTCCCTCCATCGATTCCATTGCCTGGAGAGGGCCTGCCACGCCTCCTTCGCATCCGCCGGGTGTTGTTGGCTGGCCCACGGCCGCAGCAGGTGGGCGTACGCGTCTGTGTTCGCTTCGATTTCTAGGAGGCCGGCGTGAAACAGCGGTCGGCAGCCGTCGTCGAGGAGGGCGTGGTGGCATTTGCTCTCGTAATCGCGCTCTTCGTCCTCAGGGGGCTCGACCGTCGACGAGCGGGAGGGGCTCAGGTAATAGCTCTGCATCGTACGATGTTCTGATTCGGATGGGATTTGATGCAACAGTGCGACGAGGGCGGTGGCGTCGATCGAGGGTGCTGTGACTCGCTTTACCGCTTGGCTACGCAGCAGGGTTCAGCTGTTAGGTTTGTTTTCCTTGTGGCATGGGCAGTTGCAGATGGCGATCCAGCACTCACAGCAGTTCTCGGCCAAGAAGAGCCTCTTGGTCTCGGATAGCCTATCCCAGCCCGTGATGTTTTGGATGTTTAGAGAGCCGTCTTGGGTGTTGTCGCGGAGATTCTGCTGCACGAAGCGGGCGCGCTCATCCGCGTTGAGACAGAGAACCTGGCCGGCTGAGAGCTGGGTCGCCATGGCCATTTTTTGTTCCGACATGCGTGGGATGAATGTTGAGTGTGGTTGTCGCGTTGTGTGGGCGACAACTGAGGTGGTTGAGGACTTGAGATCAGGGTTTGGGGGACGGGTGGGTTTTTAAGGATCAGTGCACGGGACTCGGCCTACTCAGGAGCCACTAGCTCACAGCCACGTGACAGCCCCACCCGAGCCGAAACTCCAAGTTTGCCGAGACCAACTGTCCATCGGGAAGGGAGACGGTCCACATGGCGTCAATTTCTCGCCAAAACAATGCCAAATGTCTATTCTAGTAGGTAGCTAATAAGGTACCCAAGAAGGTATTGCTCGACGGCGCGGTGTAACCTGCTCCTGGCACTGTACTTGACGCTAAACTTGCCTCTGCCAGACTGTCTCTTCAACCAAGCATCAGCCAACGCTCGTTTCCAACATCCAGTACACTCTCTTCTGCCGCGTCCTTGGCGACGTCTCACATAAATTGACAGCCAGCATCTTCACTACCAGCTCCAACCGTTGTACTATCCATATAGCTGCCTGTCCGCTCAGCCCATCCAATCCCACCCCCCCCCCCCCCCCCCCCCCCCCCCCCCCCCCCCCCCCCCCCCGGCACAGTCCTATTCCTCTTCGCCGTCCTAGCGCTCAGACCATCCCCTACGCCGCCGCCGTCCACTCCCCCAGCCAGCAGTGCTCGAGGACTTCTAGAACCGGGGCTCCTGTGATTCACGCACGCCGCAGTTAGCCCCAACGCCGGGGATGCAGATAGGTAGTAGGCATGCTTACCTGGCGGCCGTGGATCTCTTGACCGAGAGTGTCGTACCCCCCTTGCCAGTGCACGTTTCCGGCCCGCTCGCCATGTCCATGAGCGCTTTGACAAGCGCCTCCCGAATCGGGCTTCCGACGACCTGTCCTCCTGCGGCCCGTCCGGCTCGCGAGCTAGTACGAGCGATCCCGAGATCAGTTCGGTCCGCGGCTCGGTGGCGTCCCTCGCTAGTACGACCGTCGAAGCCGTGCCGGTGCCGCAGCCTGAGTCCAACGTCTCTTAATGCCCGCTAGATGACGGATTTCGGTCATGACACCCGCATAGTCCACTCGATCCAAGCAGTCTGCCATCCGTACAACGCCAACTACAATTATTGGTCTCTTAACATCCAGTTCAAGGACCAAGCGACGACGAGTACCGTTGCAGGCTCGCTTCGTTGCCACATGACTGTTGATGCGGAGACAGGTGACACAATCTACGCGGTTATCGCGAACGCCTACGCTATTACAAATAATTGTGTCTTTACTGTTGACTTTCCCCTAACCTCGAGTAATCTGCTAGTTGGCTATATTAGCTAAGTTATTCGCAACAACAACCTCCACAAATTTGAATACTCATCTGAAGGATCCGGATGTCGACACTGGATGTAGGCTTGTCTTCGTCTTCTTAGACTACCACCTGTGGCTAACGTGACAGCTATTTGGCTATCTAGAATCTTGAGTCGGCGGGCTACGTTGCCGCGGGAAGTGCTGCACACCTTTAGACGTTCCTACACAGCTTCTGGGACACTGTTGCTGATAATTCGGGCGTGATGCAACCTCGAAGTCGACCATCAGCATTGATTTACGGGCTACCGCAGTGAAGGTCGCATGAAAAGCATTCTATTAGCGCCGAACATGCCTGTACACGACTGTGGGCTTCGATACTAGTACACACTGTAGCTGGACATAGAAAATGGATTGCATCTATAACGCAAGTGAGGAAACGTGCAAGTGAAGGTGATAAGCAAAAGCCGTGAGGGGAAGGGGCGAGCTTGATACGACGATCAGTTAACCCTGAAAATGCTGGGTTAGTATCAATTAAAGGGGTTAAAGATAGCTCCCGGCAACTCCAACTAGCTTCTGCGCCCAGCAGAATCACCTGGTGCAAGACAAGCACGTCTCAATGGAGGATGTGACAATCTCGTAGTATTCTGTAACGAAGCCTCCCCCCGCCCGGCACCCAGAAGCCCAATGTCCTAGCATTAACAGTGAACTACATAATGAGCCTACGCGCCGATGTTTGCTCTCTGGGAAACCTTTGCCCCCGGACTGATGGACTTGGTTAGTGACGCCTAGATTCATTGGGTTGGTGACTTACAACACATGGACTTGACTGTATCGCAGAGTTTCCACCACGAGCGTTGCGCTCTCCGATTCTTGTTCAGACAAGGGAGCGAGAAAGGGACTTAGGAGGTTGAAGAAGCTAAGGTCTTGCGGGAGGAACTGGTACAGTATATGCTCAAAGTATCGAGGGAAATAGCCAGCGGCGGACCAGTCGATAAGGTAGATTTTTCTGCCATCCACTATAATGTTTCTTGGGTTGAAATCTAGATGGCACATAGATAGGGGATGGTAACGAAGATCAAGTTTCTGCCGTGAGCTGGGCGAATGTCGGTCGAACCAAAATTGGAGGTCATCAGTCTTCGAAAACTCCACCTCTTCATGTTCAGGCCAGAGTACACCAGATACTGGCCCGCCTCCAAGTGGTCCCGGAATCGTCGCCTTCTGTTGATGGATATGACCCAAGACCTTGCCCAGCTCCTCTGCCATAGGCTTTGCGCTCGCTAGGTCAAGCGTATCGCCATGGATGTAGTCCATCACAATATACCCAGCCCTCTCTTTCTGTATAAACCGGTAAGCTGTTGGCACGTTGACTATGTTGGGGTCGAGGTGCCGTTGTGCGACTTGTTGGTTCCTAAATTCTTGAGCGGTGACGAATTGTCCAAACTTCACCGCCAGGCGCTCTGTGATGCGCACCACTTTGTTTGAGTACTGCGACGCTGAAAGAGCTGTAGTCGCTTCATCGTGACAGAGCGAAACGATCTCATCATCCGTGAGAGCGGACATAATGTTGAGAGGATGAACGGTGAATCCATGAATTTGCCTTTTAATAGGTCTATTATCCTCGCTTAGCTGGCGTGTGACGTGTACCTTGATTGCACCAATTGAGAACGTCGGAACGAACTTACTCACCGAAGTACATCTGTGAACGATTTCGCCTTATTACTCCCTTAAGACGTGCGTGCCGCTCCCTCTAAGAGTTCCTCTAGGAGTTGGACAATGATGTCAATCCCAAAGGCGCTTTGCGGGTCGCCAATGAATCAAGCGCGCAGTTCAACTCAAATAAGGATATTGTTGACACCTTGAAGTTGCGTCGCCTGTTCCCGGTAGCTGGAGTATCGGGTCCAAAGGCACAAAGAAGAAGTGGAAGACGAAGAAAGGGAAGAAATCAAACGTTCTCGAATGCTAGCCCTGTCTGCGATCCCGTCGCGTTTAAAGAGAACACATGTCACCAAGTTCACGTGATGAAGTGGCGGGGTAGCGGCTCAGCCAAGCGTTTCACAGTCGCCCGCTTGCACATGAAGTAGCGCGACTGCAACACATACAACTCCCGTCTCGCACCCACCACTCAGCCAACCTGTACCAAATGAAGTGCTCCCAACCAAAAGCGCGAGCTGAAGGCCTGCGCCAGCTAGACGAATTCCACGATTTCCCTCCGCAGCTTCGGCCTTTCCAACCATGTCCCATGCCTCCATCCACAGCTCCGCTCGCCGGCACAAAACGGAAGCGTACAAGAGGTCTCGATGCGGAACCCGAAACCGACGAACTAGAAGAAGTGCGCCCCTCTAAACAGTCTCAAGGACTCTGCTTCTTGGAGAACCCGCAGGATAGTCTCACCGCCGAAGCCAGCGAACAGACGGAACGACCCGACAGCGCTGGAATGAGCGAGCCACAATGCACCCCCAAACTCTACCTTGGTGGCAGCAAGAACGTTGCTGGCAGTGAGGCTTGGTCACATTTCGCAGATTTTTTGAGAGCCTCTCCGCGGGTTCTATGCCTCGTAGGAGCTGGACTCAGCGCACCATCTGGTCTCGCAACCTGGCGTGGGACGAACGGGTTATGGAACGACATCGATTTGAAAGAGCTTGCCTCGCCTAAAAAATTTCAAGAAGATCCAGTGACGGTGTGGAACTTTTACGGCGAGCGTTTACTCAAGTCATTAGCAGCTCAGCCAAATGCAGCGCATCATGCGCTAGCAGCTCTTGCTAGGTCGCATGATGAATGGTTAACCATTAACCAAAACGTTGATGGTATGAATACTAGTCTGGACTGGAGTACTGTAAACAGTGCGCTAATATCTTGATAGGGCTTCTTGAGCAAACCAATCACCCCACACCGAGCCTACTAGACATTCACGGCACGTTGAAGAATGTTTGTTGTACTACATGCGATTACAATATCAACGTTAACACGCCGCATGATATTCCGTTCCTGCTGTTACTATCTAATGCTGATGGTCAATCACGCCCAGCGGAAATTTCTGACCTTCCACATTGCCCTGAATGTACGAATCTATTGCGCCCAGGAGTCGTCTGGTTCGGCGAGAAACTTGGTGCTGGCGCGCCAGACAACATTGACGACTGGATATCGCAAGAGCAGATCGATCTGGTGATCGCTGCTGGTACAAGCCTAGAGGTTTTCCCGGCTGCAGAATGGGTAAACACAGCGCGAACATTGGGAGCGTCTTTGGCTATTATCGATGTAGACCATAGGTTTGTGGATGATTTGGACGACGATGACTGGTTCTTTGAAGGAGATATCGCGGTCATTCTACCTAGAATACTAAGTTTTCTCTAATCTCGACATCATGCAAGGAAACAATGTCAAAAAGTTTCTCCTTCGCCAGCGAAGGGCGCGGGCTCGCCCGACCGCCAAAGTGATGCCTGTGGCGGGCAAGGGAACCCATGATCAACACCCCTAAAAAAGTTGCATTCTTGCGCAAAGGTCGTTCAATGGATTCGAAGGACGGTTGGATTGCGGTCTGGGGTGGGTGTAAAATCCTCGATCAATCTGTCAACGCCCATCAAGCAACCTTCGCCCTTTGCGATGCAGCATAGCGTACAGCTATGTGTATGTTGTAGCTTTCTCTAATAGCAGACCCTCCGTCGACGGACAAGAAGCCCTCTACGCAAGACCGCATCCCCGCCAGCGCCCTTGCCCAACGACAACCTTACTTCGACAGCGACTGCAATGACGTCCCTTCGCCCCCCAACCCATCGCCCTAACAGCATGCGCCTACTGAACGTTTCCTTCAACGTCCCGTCTGTGTCTACGCCGTGGGTGGCGGTTCGGGGCCAACGCCGAAATCCCTACTACAGCGACAGCGCACACTGCCCGCAACACCCTACGTCGTGGACGATGCGCCTGTTCTGATCCCAACGCGTCTCGGCTGCCGCTATATTTAGAATCTAGCAGGAGTCAGGAAACGGAAACCCAAAATTGGACACCAAGGGGGCCTAAAACGGGAAACAGGAGCGTGTTTTCGCCCCTGGCTAGTGCCCGTTCGCTGGTTCCCGTTTCCGGACTCTGATGACTGATGTCTGATTGGTATTTTGGTGGCATCTCTTGTCGAAGCCTTCTCTGATGTGAAATTCGAGCTCCAGCTGGAAGGTACGCGCGGTCAAATGAATGTAGCAGAGTTCCATGGGCCGCTGCTCTCCGGGCGGAACTCATATGAGGAGTTGTTCTTAGAAGAGAATGCCCCTTGTAGGGGTTAAATCTCTCATACAGCGCTTCGTTGGGCATGCTTTCTGGATATGTTTCAGTGATGGAATTGGGAAGGGGGGATTAGATGGAGAACATACGACCATTGTCCCAGTAATTTTAGACTTTTTAGCTTGGTGTTGCAGTTCGCCAGCGCATCATAAGCTACGAATACTTCTTCTGCAATCCGTAGTAGCGCACTTTAACTGCGCCCGGCGTCCGATCTGGGAATCGTTTACATATCTCTTTCCACTCCATACCCTGGGTATCCCTAAATGAGAGTAAACGCATTTCTTCCGACTCTAGCCACGGTATGCGCGTTTGTTTGCTGTATGTTTCTATGCCTCCCTCTCCCTTCTCGCTCTTTTCATCCCAATCATCGTCTAAGGAGGTCGTTTCATGATTCGCAGCATGACTATGAGAATCGCCCATCCAGTTCGCATTCAAGCTTTTGCCAGTACATGGGCCTGACGCACTATCATCATACCGGTATCCCAACAGCATCCATGAATCCGGCGATAGCTGGGTCATGCGGATGACCTTGCCATCTTCGCCAAGGAACTTGGGACTCAGGGCGGCCGCTGGGTCGAGAGGCCATTTTGAGTCGGGATAACGGACAACTGCTGTCACGATCGACGAGCCGTTTGGGACAGCGCAGAGCGTGAGGTCGGTTATTTGATAGGACATGTCGACGTTGGGCTTATGGATGATGTTGGTCTCATCTCCTGCCTTCGTTCCTGGAGAGGGGGCTCGTGGGGAGCAAGACCGAGGCCGGTTGTCCATCGGGGGCCGATACAATAGCTGTGGCTGGGATGACGTTCCTTGTCGCGATGCCCTCGTCGGCATTGTGCTCGAGCACCGTCGCCCAAGAGTAGTTTGTAATGGACGGTGCCTCTTCTCCTTGAGTGGACGATTGCTGCGTTTACGTCGTTGAGAGGTTTTCGTCGAAGACCTAGGGAACAGCTTATCGTCCTGATTGAGTTCGTCGTGGCTTTCCCTGAATTCTCCACCGCTGCATTCCCTGTTCTCTCCAAGCCTCTCTGAGTTTGGGTCGATATATTGTTCGCCTGATATTCCCTCGAGAGAAGAGACGGATCCTCTCGAGGAATGCAGTAACCCCTGACTTGCCCTACGACTGTGTGCGCTATGACCGCCATTATTCTTGGTGTGGAAGTCGCTTGGAGATAAGCGTAGGCTTCTAGCACCATCGTGTTTGCCGTCACTGTTAAGAAATCGAAGACTACGCTTAGTGCTGGCTCTTGAATGGGAAACGCCGCCGCTAGGAGTTAGCAGGGGCGTTGACTTAGGCGTGGGCACTGGATTGCGTATGAGACTTTCTGCTAGTCGCTTCGTTGAACGCGGGTCTTCTAGCTCTGGTTCTGGCGTGACGTTCAGCGTATCTAGGGGCGCGCCCGTTTGCGTGTTGTCGACGGTCTGTCTGTGACGTAATAGATTCTATGTATACAAGGACGCCAAAGAGTAGATAGAAGGAAAAACAGGGCTCTTTAACCCTAACTACAAAAGGAGACTATTTTAACGGGGCGCAAACTCAACAACCCACAGAATCCGTATAATAGTTCCATGCCTCCCGAGTGCTCTCATGTTGGTCCAGAATCAGTGGCAAGTATTTAACAGCCCATTCACTTAAGTAAGTAGATGTCCAATGAACCTTGCGATCCTCCCAATAAGCCGGTAGCCAGCCAGACTGCTCCCAGTCTATAAGTGCGGCGACCCGTGGTGGAGTAGACGATATAATGATATTGCTTCGATGAAGGTCTCCATGTGTGAAGACAATCTCGCTGTCATCGGGGAGATCCTTACGATACGGTTCCGGTACTGTCTCTGGATCAGGCATCTTCCGCTTGTATTGGAGTATGAACCAATCATGAAAGTCTTTCACAGAAGTGAACGGCCCGGTCTCGGATTGGGATGCCAGAAAGAGAGCTCTCTCGTAGTAGCTACCTCTTGTGATATTGCCTGGGTATTTGATGTTAATATCAAAGGTGTAATGAAGAGGGCTAGGACGCAGGCCAACTCACCGATGAATTTGTCCAAAGGGTTCTGTTTGAGCTGGCGTAGGTTGTGTAGAATAGTTCGAAGTTCACTGCAGATGCGCAATCGGTCATCTTCTTTCATCTCCGGCCACGCGTCTTCCAACGTCTTTCCCCTTATTGCCTCCATATAAAGAAAAGTCTCATCGCCATCCATACGCCATCCGTAGATTTCGGGAACAGGTACAGAGTTTCCGCAGCTGTTTCGAATCGCGTAAAGAGTTTGTCCCTCGGTGATCTTAACGTCGCTTCCCCACTTAACGAACAGTGACATATCCTCAAACACGGCGGGCGCAGGACGTGCGTTGTAGACCTTGGAGACGTCTCTCGTCTTCCAGCCCCAGTGGGTACAAGCAAGATATTGAGCCCGTGCCCGCGACCGAACTTCCTCGGGAGACGGTAGTTGATGGTGGTGTCGGAAGAAAGAAGACGTGCGTACATCAAAGTTTGCAGCCTTTGGGACGTCTGCTGGTGTGACAACAGCACTCTTCATGATAATCACAGTTGTGGATAATAGAAGGAGAGTAGTTGTTCTAGTTAATATGTAAACGGACGACAGAGTAAGGGCCTGAAGAAGCGCGAGGAAGTGAATGGAGGCTGCGCCTTCAGATGCTGTGCGGCGAGGTGGCGAGGAAGCGCCAAAGCTAAAAAGTGCGCTAACCTTTAAGGGCATTTGCTAACGCGATCAGGTTGGCGGTGCTGGGGATTTGGCGGCGCTGGGAGTTTGGCGCTTGGCACAGCGCAACCACCAATCAATGGTTGCCCCGCCGAGTCAATCGAAGCCCGGACCACCACACAACATCGACTCGAGATCGAGCCATCCTGTCCCTCTCCACTTCTCCCCACCCTCAATGCACCCCATCTCAGTCGCCGCCTGGATCCGCGAACTTGAACCTCGCGCCCGCGCCCGCACTCGACCATATCCCTCTCCCTTGCGCACTTGCAAGCGACGGCAGCCCGACAGTCGCAAGAGCCCGCGCCCGCCAAAGAAGATACGCCGTGTTGTGCTGGGCGAGATGGCGGCGGACGACCAGAACATGTTCATGCCTTCCCGCAAGAGCAATACGTCGCGCCCGAAAAAGAGCATTGACAAGAAGCGCATGCGCACGCCCTCGCCGTCGAAAAATCAGCGCCAATTTCCCGACGACGCGTATTCGCCCGACGATATCGACGATGCGACGCCTCGCCCGGACCGCTTCGCACGCAGCGCATATCCCATTCCTGATCTCTCATACAAAGAGGCTCTTTCCAACGAGCCCATCGAAGACGACGACGACGACGACGACCTCCAGGCCCGTTCGCCTACACGATCGCACTCGCACACACAGTCGCAATCTTCCAACCGCTCGGCCAGCCCCAAGAAGATTACTTCTCTATGGAACGTTGGAAATGGGGTCATATACACGCACTTGGCGAACAGGACCGCTTCGAAACGGGAGCAGCTCGGTGGAAACGGGCTTGCGCTCTTGGAGAAGCTGGAGGATGTGGGCGACGGGCCTGTAGTGCCTGCGAAACTCAAACAACGGCTGGCGGAGGCGGACATGGGCAAGGTGAAGCAACACCAGTTCGACACATCAGATGAAAGGCCAGTGGACGAGCTGCTGTGGGAGCTGCGGACCATACAGGACATCATTTCGCTGTCGCACCGGTGTTCGGTGAACCGTGACCATGAGACCGAGTGGAACAATCGCGTGCACACCAAGGTGCTGGAGCTGGCGTTGGGAAACGATGAGACGAGTGTTAGGTTCCGAAGCGTGTAGGTACTCTTCGACCCGCCCATGACTTGGGACACTCAAAGAGCTTCGCTGACCAGAGTCACACCATCCAGAACTGCAGCCAGAATCACACCAGAATATCGCCCTACGCATTCGAACAACCTCACAACTGGCAAGATCGTCGATTACGCCATTCATCTCGAGCCCTCTGGTCCCGCACGCGACATTATATCATCCCTCATTGGCATGTCGACCGATTCTATTAACCACGTCGGCTACGAGGGTCTACGCGCTCGACCTATTGCTATATCGATCGAAACCAAGACCGAGAGTCGGACTGTGGAGGAGGCGAAGGTACAACTAGGCGTGTGGGTGGCGGCGCAGGTGGCACGGATCGAGGCACTCGTGGGGCAGCTTGCTCCGCTTAAGGTGAAGAAGCCGGCAGCAGAGGCACAACGTAGCCGACTAGAATTGGAGATGGTCACACGAGGTCGACGGAAAAGCCGCGGGAGAGGTGGTAGGATGTCGCGAGCGGAGCAGCTACAGACGCAAGAACTGACACCGTCTCCCACCGTCGTGATGGTCCCGGATCTCTCTGATATCCTCTCACAGACTGTATTTCCGCTCATCGACATCCAATCCGAAGCGTGGTCGCTCTTCTTCGCCCGGGTCACGCCGTCAAACGCCCCCCACCTATCGAATTCGGACATTCGCAAGCCGGTGTCGAATATTCAAATCTTCCATTCGGTTCCCTTGGGAAACACGGCGAATACAGTGCAGACATATCGGCTGGTCAAGAGCTTAAAGGTGCTGAGGGATTGGGTCGATGGGGACTTCCGCAAGTGGTGGGATGGGTTTTTGGGGGTTCGCGACGCTGAAGCGGACGGTGGGTGAGGCTGCATTGGTAGTACTTTGTATTAAGACTTGTTGTAAAATACACTAAGGTCGCGATGAGAACGCGTGGTGCATGGACGTGATGTAGCCGTTGGTGAAGCTCGCGATAAGGCTCGAAGGGTAGGACAATTCTAGCTTTAAGAGCGTGTAGGTAACCCTCTGCTTCGTTGGTGGCACTCCATGCTGATCTCCAAGCAGACAGTCCCAAGCTATCGCTGCTGAATTCCTTTCGTCCGTGCCCGACGCCTCTGGCAAATCACGCGTCCTCGACCGCGTAGCCAACTTCACGCTGTCCTTATCCCACATGCTATCCCCCGGCTTCGAAGACCTATACAACTGCCTGATAAGCCACGTGGCCGACGCATCCACAAAGACAACCGCCGTCTTTTCCTGCGTAGAGGTCAAGCCCGCCAGCGACGACCACACAGAAGCTGAATACCAGCCTTGCCTTCCGCGCGTGTGTGTCCTTGAGTTCAGCGAGGCTGGGAAGGTAGCTGCAGCTGAACGCTGTAGGATCAACGTCGGAGTTCGAGTTCCCTTCGTGTGTCCCAGCGGTTGCCAAGGCGCAGCGATTAGCCCCATGCGGTGACCTTGCGAGGTGGCGAGGAGAGCTCGGAAGTCGGAGGAGATTCTTGCGTTGAAAGAGGGTCGTCCCGTGCCGGCGTCGAGCATCCGCATCTTCTCCGACTCTCAGTCGGTTAGAGCCACGATCGAATTTGCGAGGGACACCGGAAGGCTACAAGCGAGCGTACAAGACACAGCATGCACATAAGAAGAAGAAGCGGAAGAGAGGAGGCAGCTGAGGATGCCCTCTCCTACCTCCTAAGCAACCACATGGCGAGCCACCTACAACGTGCCTCGGCCAGTGCGCTGCCGATTAAGAGGCGCACGACGCCGGAACTGCCCTGCGGACACGAGGCCTCGAGTCGCATTTGCTGTCCTCTCTCATCCCAAAGCATATGCGCCAATCCCTGCTCGTGTCCAGATGCTTTGTCTTGTTTCCTTGTTGCCGGTAGTCATCTCATGTGATGCGTTGGCGTTTCGGACGGCAAACCAGGCGGGACGTTGAAGGAACCGTTTCAGCAGGCGCATGCTCTCGCTTTCGCTTCAAGGAGACAGGATTGGTCGGCGATGAAGGCTGTTGGGGAGACACAGGCTAGGGGTGTGTGTGGAGTGGACGGCATTGTCATCGCCGTCGTGGCCGGGCGGCGAGAGGTGGAGACGGAGAGTCGTGCGGGCAGGGCGCTGGCGGGGGTGCGGGCTTGCGCGGAAGGGCTTCTCGTCGGTCGGCCGAGGCGTCAACGGAGAGTCTGCGAAGCGATAAGGTGGTGGGATATGCTGATGCGCTGTTAGAGGAGTTTACGACAGCTACTCGAAACCTTCGCGATGACTCAGCAGCAGCGCCACCTATTCGCTAGGACATATGACGTATCTGTGGCTGGTGCTGCGCCGAGCACGAACCTTCATTCAACACCAAGCCAAAACAAGTGCCCGCTCCACACTTTAGCCGGGCCTGATTTAGCTCCCGTGGGTCCTGTTTCGATTCCCCGCTGTGGAGCCCTTTTTGTCCCTAGATGGGACGCTAGCCCAGATCTGCGCACCTCCGTGGCAATGCTTAGGAAGTATTTGGGGCGCGGAAGCACTGTGCAGTGTGCAGGAAGAGAATTGCTAGCTGAACAGGCCTCAGAATTACAATTCTACGTCGCAACCGCAGAAGAGTTATCACCAGCTCGAGCACCGCAGCCGCGTATACTGTACATATATTAGGAAGTCTGAATGCTCTTCGCTAGGAAAATGATCGCTGCCTGCCTGTCCAGAACAAAAGCTGTCCGTGTCGTCTTTCCTCTTTGGCCTTCCTTTGGTGGTATCTTGAGAGCAGCCAGTATACCCGGGTTGGACATGTGCACAGGATATAGGACCACGTAACTTGTATGTTGGGGGTAGCTGCAAAATTGGGGTAAACGACAAGGGAGAAGATGGATCTACATCTCTTCTCGACTCTAACCGCTTGTCCTTGCACGCAATTCTCGCTGCAAACCCGGGATTAAGCCGGTGTCTACGGGACGGGATGATGAGCGAGCGCATTTGGTGTACGAGCTCGACTGGGCGACATAGTCTGCAACGCGGATTTCGGAGAATGCTGCCAGATCGAACGGCGGCCGCGTGGACCTGTTGGTTACGACGTTGTCGCGTTGCCTTCCAACGCAGCATCCTCCATATAGCCCTAATCAGACAAGACGTCATTTTCCCAAGAACCCAGTTAGGCTCCATTGTTCTTGCTGTCCGCCCGCCGTAACGAGCGACAACTCACACCGTATGCGCTTACCGGAGGGGTCGAAGTCGGTTTGGGGCAGACGAGGCGCGCAGGGCTAGGCTGGCTATGGAGCTGAACAGGGGAGCGTGCGACCACTAGATGCTGTTAGAGTCGCAGCTGGGTCAGGTCCTGGACATACGGAGCGATGTTCTTCGAGAATGTTGCGTTGCCGTCTACAGATTGCTAGTCGTGGTGCCTATGCTATGGCGACGACGCACGACAGATGGCGCGCTTAGAGGCACGGGGCAAAAGATGGATGTAGAGCGAGCAGTAATACTAATGAATCGCAAAGTGGATGGGGGCGCGGAGCGCAACAATGAGCACAAGAGGCTGGTCCGGAATCCAGGTCGAATGTCGCACGTGCGAACAGGTTCGGAACGGATATACTTCAGACCGGTCACTGTATCTTGCAAGCAACGCAAACGAGAAGCCGCCACGACGCCCGTCCAACCTCATCTCTATTCTCATCTGTTGGCATGGCCACGATTCACCGAGAGTCTGATGACTTGTTGCAGCCGCCACCTGGCATTCGCTCGAAGAGGGATTTGACGGCCCTTTGTGAAGTCTGGGATTCTGAGACTGGCGCGTTCCGCCGTTCAACTTTCGCCTACCTCGATGGACACGACAATGCGTGGTTTGGTCAGACACCTGGCATACGAAAGTACGATTTGACCGTGGAAGTTCTGGGACGACACCTGGAGAAGATTCCGGACGAAAAAATCTATCCGTTAGCGACACCGCTTATCAACACCGTATCAGAAGCGGACCGAAAGAACCTCTTCATCAAACGCCCTAAATTATTATGCCTTGACAACGAAGAAGAAACGGCCCTTCTCCCTCAAATGCTTCTCGAAGAGGCGGAGATCTTGGAGTTCCTCAAGCGAAACCATCACCCAAATCTTGTCAAGTACTACGGCTGTACCGTCAATCGCGGTCGTATCACCGGAATCGCCCTCGAGAAGCACGCGATGGTTCTGCAATATCGGTATGAGGATGATCCTCGTGATCTCGACATAACTGTCTGCATGAACGGTATTCGAGCGGCTGTCAGGCATCTCCATTCTCTGGGACTAGCACACAATGATCTTAATCCTATGAACATTGCCCTTGATGGTAATGACAGCCCAATCGTCCTTGACTTTGGGTCTTGTAAGAGATTTGGCGAGCAGCTTCTATCCGCAGGCACGGCTGGCTGGGTAGATGAAAGCTATTCCATATCGGCACAGCGACATGATGAATCTGCAATAGATAAAATAGAGGCATGGTTGACGAGGGAGAGGGACGCAAGAGCGAAGACCGGCATTCTATGTACGTGAATGACATTTGGCTTGTGGACCAGTTAAGTTGGAAGAACGGCAGCGACTTGATGCATGGCTGCATGGTGTCGATTTGAGATAACGATTGACACACAACATGATGCCACGCAGTTCAACCAACACGCCGATCAGAACCTCCCTTTTCCTCGGAATGTTCGTTGATGAATTCCATCGATTCAGCCTGTCTCTTCTAGGTACTTGGAGCTTGATAGCGACCTGACGTCCGGCAATTTGTTCTCCCACAATCTACTCTTCTGACCTCCGCGATCCGTCGTGTCGTACCATCAGGGTTCTCGACAACCTTGATCGTAGTTACTTGGGTGCACCTGATCTGGCGTCAAGATATTAGGTAGTAGAAGAGCCCTATGACTTACATCTTCAAGAGGGGTATAACCGAGTTCGTCGCTGATGTTCGTAGTGTGGTATGTTAAGTTTCTCCGCTTGGTTGTAAGGTAACGCGAAAGATGTCGGACCAGTTCTTCATCCCTATCAAGTTGGGCTTGCCCCTCTTTTCTAATTAGTGAAGCTTGCGACTGCGTGAGCATGTGGACAGCGCGTAATAAGGGTTAGACCCGAAGCGGTGGAGGGCGCATGAGCGGATTGCCAGCGGGCAGAGGCGCTGGATTACGTCGCGCGCGGCCTACCGGATGGTGGGTATGCAACGCACCCAGAAGGGGGACCCCGATGCTGCAGTGGTCCTATGCTATAGAAGCTGGTCGGGATCGGGGCTAGCAACACCCCGTTTACCTGGAGGCATGCATCCCACTGCACGCCGAGCTTGAGAGCGCGCGGGGTCGCTGGCGACGTCTGTGCACGTCCGCTGCCTTCCTTGAGCAGCGAAAGATTGGCAACGAACTGTTCCGCCGCCAGTAATTCCCGAATCACTTGCCCTGCGTGAGGACATTCACATCTCTTTTCGCTGCTGACAATAACAATACTAGCGGCTTCGCCATCTGCGTACACGACTCCAGCGACTCAGTTTCGACGACTCCGTAGACCCGTCGACCGCGCCGACAGTGAAGGACCGTGATAAACACCGCGACCGACGCGCGAACCATACCCAGCCTGACATCAATAAGACGCGAGTGCCGACTCCAGGCGTATGGCAACGGACAAACAACGGCAATCGCCCCTTTCCGCCACGGAAGCATGGGAAAGGCTGGAGAAGACCCTGTCTCGACCCATAGAAGGCCGTAAAAGTCGAACACAGGTCAATGATGCGAAGGATATTTTGGACGAGTCACCAACAGGGACGAAACGCAAGAGATATCAAGCCTTTCTCTTCGAAGTTTTGCGCAAATGTGGGCCAACCTTCGTTGTACTGTGCGCTATTGGTCTAGGCCAGGCCAATATCGCCAACATGAATGCAGCAAGTCGTTCGTCACTACTGGGCATACTCGAAAAGAAGAAAGGGCTTCCTCTTATCAGAAACCTCAAAGATATAGTGCCAACCCGATTAAAAGGTGCGTCGTAGTGTCGTGCTTAATTTTCGGCGGAGCTGACTTGTTAGATATTCATGTCGCATCTCATCCACGACCCGTTGAGAAGATTCGAGACCAGTATCACATCTACAAGTTCGCCACAATAGATAATCCTGCGTTCTCGAGCTATTTCCCTCCGCGCCTTCTACAAGCTATAAATGACAGTGCTCTTTGGGCTTGGGAAATGCGGAAATCGTCGACAGAAACTGAAATTGTTAGGACGGACGTACCTTGGTCAGCATTTGAAGACTGTATGATGTTCTTGGAAGTTGGCTCTGCTCAAGGGATCATCGCTATGTTGTTTACACCCGACAAACGTACACCATGCCCTTCGTGCTGTGAGTAGAAGATTTATAGTCACTATTTTTCTATATCTAACATCGGAAGGTCCCGACCATTACTTCCTTAGAGGCGCTTCCATAGAAGCAATATCTGCCCTCTTCGGTGCATATTTATCCCAGGCTATAGACGAGAGTGAATTGCGAAAGTGGGAAAAGGAAAACCAGCAGCTGGAGACGACCGATTGTGTGGAGATGCAGCTGCTTCGAGACTCGACTTCGCCCCATGGCATACTCAAACTGCGAATTGGATGGAGGCTAGGTAACCCAATAGTGAATTCGTTGTATACATAATCCACACAATTGCTACACCACTTTCGACCGGCCATTGAATACTTTCACCCCAATGTTTGCCAGAAGCTCTCCCTCTTCTCTCCCTCGTCTCCTGAGCAATACTTCTCCATCCTTCTAAAAGATAACATCATCACACTCGAGGAAATAGAGGTTCCTAACGTAGCCAACGGGCGGAATCCAGTGGACAGCTTTCTTCGCGCCGAAAAAGCTAGCGTCCTTGCTGAGTTTCGTTCCAGTCTGCGCAGACATGGTGAGTCGCAATAAACACAAAACAATCTGGAGAGATACCCATGTGAACTTAGCATCGCCTTCCTCGTTCTCCGCTGTGCCCGTCATAGTTTGCGTTTTAGCCTGGAGAGAACGCAGACGGTAGCTGCGCTGTCCGAAATTCGAAATTCTGCCTAAGGGAAAACGCGTAGCAGGGATCGTAGCGCTATACGTCGAAGTGACTCGTACGTTGTCGTCTTTTCCAGGACATACGGTAGTTGTCAAAACTTGGAGACGGTGGTCGCCGGACGAGTGGAAAATATTGCCGTCGCTGATGGCGGGGATGATGCCATGCGCCCCTCCAAACCCGTGCCTAATCACGTTCATGCCCGAAAGTGAGTCACTGCTAGAGGTTCCTGCGGGCTTGCTGTATGGTAAATCGAGGGGTGCATTTGGCACGCCTCTCATGCGAGGCCTATCGTTAATTCCCCTCCTGAGAGAGGATATAAGAATAGCCGTATCTTCACCGTCGAAGAGTTGGCCAAGTCAAAATTGATCGCTAGATACACGTCCACCATGGCCTCATTCAGCAATGCTACTTCTCAAATCCAATCCATCATGTCTGAGCAGATCTCTCTTCTCGATCTCCTCTTTCCCGGCTTTACACCCTTATCTTCCTTTGTCTGGCCGCTTCTCAGCGGTGCCCCGAGCCTCTACGGACGGCTATTGTGCATCTGCGGGATGCTCGTGCTGATTGGAAAATATGGCCCGGAATACTTTGGGACCCTGCTGGAAGCCCATTTCAGTTAGTTAAGCCGTCTTTAGAGAGCCTGTGCTATCGCTTTCTAACAACCTCATAGCTTCAAAGATGGAAGTGCCTTATAACGACGAAGCGTACGATATGCTCATTTCTTGAGTGTGTTCATAGCCATTTGCGCGGTTGGTGCGCGCTTCTCTCGCAAAGGTCGCTCTCGACTCATCTGGGCGTGGGAATACATCCGGATCTTAGGCCTATATTGGGAATGATACCAAGAAGCTACTGCACTACTCCCCCTGGAATGGTCGCTTCTACTTCTGGCACAAGCGTTATCTATTTGTTTTCGAACGCATGCAGACTCGCGGAGAGCTTGGGTTCAGCCGGGAGGAAGCCTCTATTTCGTACTTCGGGCGGAATCCAGATGTTCTAAGGCAACTCCTCAATGAGTGCCGCCAGCATTATTTAGGACTCGTCTAGAACACCACCTGTGTTTTTGAACACTAAGGAGAAAGATGGACCTCGTCTAAATTTAAGAACAAAAGAGATATGTCGACCGTGGTACTCAACAAAAAGCTAAAGGAGATGTTGGTAAACGACATCTTAGAGTTCCTAAATCTAACGACTTGGAAATGGTACTCCACGCGCAGTATTCCCTATCAACGAGGGTACTTGTTTTATAGGCTACCCAGAACTGGGAAATCCAGTTTCAGCTTATCCGTCGCAGAACAACTCAACTTAGACCTTTACATCCTTAATATCCCTACGCTCGACAACTACAGCCTGAAGGCGCTTTTCGCAGAGCTCTCTCGGCATTGTGTTGTCCTACTCGAGGATATTGATGCCGTCGGCTCCAAACGGACCGGAAGCAGCAATAAGAGTGTTGGTTAGAGCACCTCGTCTGCGCAAATGCCTGCTCTTAAGACGCTGTCTCTATCCACTCTTCTCAATGTTCTTGACGATATCGGGTCGCCAGAAGGTCGAGTGTTGATTATGACAACTAATCATATCGAGCACTTAGACCCTGCGCTCATACGCCCCAGTCGTGTGGATACGAAGGTCGAGTTCCGTCTTGCCGATGAAGACATGATCCATCAGATGTTCTTCTTCGTCTACGATCCGCAGTCGATAAACGTCACCGGAGACGACGAATCAGAGCATGGCGTCTCTCGGACTAGGGCAGAGAAGCTCTGCGACTTACCCCAGCTGGCGCAAGAGTTTGTGGCAAAGGTACCGAAGCTAGAGTTCAGTTCGGCTGAAATCATGTCTCTTTTGCTGGCAAACAAGCAATCTCCCCGCCATGCCATTGCCAGTGTGGATGGAGAGGATCAGAGATGAGAGGGAGAAATTCACGAGGACGAACTCGTGGGCGCTTGATGACAATGATGGATTCTAGGGGCCGTTGCACTGTTTGCAAGGGCTTGTGACGGCTATGCTGGCGTCTCCACTGGGATTCTGGAGGGCTACGATCACTTCATTGCACTACCATACGGCACATTCTTTTAGCGAGTATCGTTTTCTCTCAGTTCCCTAAACCTCTCCGTAGTAGCTTGTGTAATGTCTTATTGAAGCGTAGCGGCTCATAACACGGTTCATATCTTTGTCGACACCAAATCATGCATGCGGTGCGGTAGCTCCTAATTAGCCAATCAAATTCCCATGCCCATGAGGATCTGCAGCGTGGAGCCTGAGATGAGGCGGCGCATTTCTGAGCAGCGTCATCTCTTCTCCCGTCTGCCCCCAGATCGAGGTCGCGCTGCAAAATTGGTGCGTGTCGCTCTTGTATTGAGGACCAGGCGGCTATTGGCGTTTGAGATCGAAGCGGGCGTTCGGGTCGTTCACCTTGGCTGTCGCCCGCTGCGTATTCCTCGCTTCGCCTCCGACCGGATCACATTCATTGGGAAGAACCGTCGTAGATGCAGCTGTTTACCCCGGTCTTCTGACAGGGATATGCGCCAGGTACTGATGATCGCGAAGTATTTCCGAGGCACCCGCAGAGTCCGTGCCGTGCGCTAAGCCAAATTGGTGCGAGACTTGTACGGCGTACTCGCCACACTGGCCAAGGGTGCTCCTTGGCCATACGCAGCTCAATAGAATTACCGAGCTCAACGAAATCGACTTAATCCGCACCGTACTTAACGCGTAATATAGACACGTAATTAATATATTTTTATATAATTATAATAAGAAATAGCTTCTAGAGCTATTTCTAAGTAGCTAGTATATATTTAGAAATTATCTACTAAATATAGTAGTTCTAGAGAACTCTAGAAAGAAGTAGAATAGTCTTAGCAGGTAAATTACCTAAAGCCTCTAATATACTTTATAAGTAAACCGTCTATATAAGCGAACTACCTACAATTTCTTAGCAAGAAAAATTAATAAGAATTTACAAGTTTTTCTTAAATAACTAAGTAAAACCTTACTATATTTCTATAAAAATTTATAAATATATTCTTTATAGTATATTATATCTTCTATTAAAGTTATACTAAGATATATTACGTAATTAAAAAGCTATACGTATTTAACTAACTTTTAAAAAAAAAATTTCTTCTAGTAAGTACTATTATATCTTAATAATAATCTATAAAACTTATAGTATATAGTATCTAGATCTTAATAGAGTTTTCTAGAAAACTTCTATAGAGCTAGCTCTTCTAGATATAGTATAATAAGAGATAAAAGTTTAAAAAAGTCTTTATAGAGTTTTCTTTTCTAACTATATATATATATATAAATAATCTAGCTATATAAAGTTATAGATTATAAGTTTATATATATTATAAGTCTTCTATATATTTAGAAGTAATAACTTTAAGATAGTTTTAGTATATTTCTTTCTTTCTCTACTATACTACTAAAAGACGTTACTTTTAAATAACTACTTAAAGCTAGTATATTATTAGTTAATAAGCTCTATATAGTTAGATTCTACTATAATTTATAAAATAATAAGTTTATATAGCTAGATTAACTATATATATATATAGTTAGAAGAGAATACTTTAAAAAAGATATTTTTCTAACTTCTATCTCTTATTACGCTATATCTAGAAGAGCTAGCTCTATAGAAGTTTTCTAGAAACCTTTATTATATTATAGATACTATATTCTATAAGTTATATAGATTATTATTAAGATATAATAGTACTTACTAGAAGTAAACTAGGTTTTTTTTAAAAGTTAGTTAAATACGTATAGCTTTTTAATTACGTAATATATCTTAGTATAACTTTAATAGAAAGTATAATATACTATAAAGAATATATATCTAAATTTTTATAGAAATATATTAAGGTTTTACTTAGTTATTTAAAAAAAACCTATTAATTTTTATTAATTTTTCTTACTAAGAAATTATAATATACTTTATAAACAAACGCTTTATATAAATAAACGCTCTAAAAATGCTAAGCTAGAAAAACTAAAAGGTTTTTCTTAAATAACTAAGTAAAACCTTAATATTTTTCTATAAAAATTTAAATATATATAGAACTATACTATATATACCTTCTATTAAATTTATACTATATATTTTCTATTACGTAAGCTTAAGATAAGCCTTTTTCTAAAAGTAGCTATTCTTAGAGTTTAAACCTTATAACGTACTTTATAAGCAAACTATCTATATAAGCAAACCGCCTACAATTTCTTAGCAAGAAAAATTAACAAAAACTAACTTGTTTTTCTTAAATAACTAAGCGAAACCTTAATACTTTTTTATAAAAATTTAAATATATATTTTCTATAGTATATTACACCTTATATAAAAGTTGTACTAAAATATATTATGTAATTAAAAAGCTATACGTATTTAACTAACTTTTAAGAAAAAATCTAGTTTACTTCTA